TATATATATATATATATATGCTGTGGAGATATAGGTCAAATTTAGCAGGTGAAACACTGTCTAATTATCCATCTATTCATCTATCTATGTATTATGCATGATATTAGGATTTAAGTACATACAAATCCGTGAAACTGGTTCAACAGTTCGTAAATTTCATATCCTTACATTTCTAATATAATATGTATATCTATTATATAATATATATATCTATTATATAATATGTATATCTATTATTTAACCTTTTTATCCTTAAATGATCTAGAATTTTTGAAATTCCAGGTTGCTCATCTTCAGAGGGTAACTAAAGACTTGCCTCCATTTACAAATTTGATACAGTGATAACCAGAAAACTGTAGAATTTGAAGACGACATTAAATCAATACTAAATAGCATTTGGTGTTGTTACAAAGCAAATAGTTTACAGTAATTTAGTGAAATGGATCTGTTTACACTGCACAATTAATTGCTGTGCCTCATATATTCATTGGACAATTAAAAGTTATAACTTGAGTTAGGTTTCCTCAAATGGCATTTTTCTTTATGATTCATTGCGATAAATTTCGCGCAATGTTTTTTGCGCACTTTTTGCGTAAAACAATTCGCAACGAAGATTTCGCAATTTTGAGCAATAAAGCCAAGTGCAATATCATTGCATTTATTGTAATTAACAATTAGCAATGTAGATTGTGCGGTTTTATGAAAAAAAAGCGAATTATATTACGCAAAGACATGATTTTTAGGTGTAATAAATGATTTTAAAAATTCTAAATATTAAAGGAATTGAGTTTTTGCAAAAAAAATCATGTATATATGTATGTATATTATCTAATAGTTTAAATTAGCAAGGGTCTACGACATCGGGTTGCAAAGATATAAGAAAGAGAAAATCGTAGTTTATGGCAAAAACTCAGTTTCTTTGCATAAATTTATAACACATATTATAAATATATAAAACATATTATGTTTAACCTATAGCTTCTGTCATTAACCTTCTACGTAATTAAGAAAAAACAGGAAATAAACACCGGATGTAATATATTTTGCGAATAATGTGACTAGAATTTTACTGAGGCATGAATGTTTTTTTAAACTGAAATTATCCAAACTTTGTTTATATACTGTTAATTTAGACAAAGCTCCTTCACTGTACTCAGCAGCACATTCTTGTTCCATTTCCTTTCCCTGTCATCCTACTCCATTGTTCATACTTTTCATACTTTCTTATTCTGTCAATACTATAACTCTTATGTTTATACTTCCTTCTCCTTCCCACATATATAGCGGTTTCTAGGATTATTTCCTAAACTACCATGTTTACTTGTCTCATGTTTATTAATATTCTAAAATTATTTAATAGTTTCTTTCAGAGATAAAAATAAAAAGGGGCGTGCAGGAATAGGGGGGGGGGTGCTAAATTGTTTTCCTTTCTAGGGGGCTCAGCACCCGTTGGCGCTCAAAAACCTATGGAAACCATGTAGATTTCACTGTTCCAGGAGGGGAGGGGTTGAACACCATTGCCCCCCTTAATTCGCCTCTGAGTGGAAAAAGGGATGGAGAAATTTTCACTATCTAATAAAAAAGAAATTTACATCTCTTCATTAGAGATTTTATGACTGAACTCAGACGAATGAACAGAAAAAATAGTTTTTGTTTAGTTGTAAACTTCAGTATTTAAAAAAAGATTATTGTTGATGTCCAATTCTTTAAAAGGTTTAGATACCCCTCCTTAAACAAGCCGCTTCCCCTCCCCCTTCCCCCGATTTAAGTAAAAGTTCGTTAATTAGTCTAGATTAGATCGACTCCCACCACCACTTAATACACATACGTATAAACAGTTTGTTTTTAATCTTCGTTACAGAAACAATCTCAAGGAATAATAATTGTCTTAAAACATTTTTTTACATCTCATGGTCTTAGTTCGTTTCCCTTTGTCCATTTGGCAGCCAAATTTTTTATTTGTTTATTTCTTGTGGTTTTTAACATTTTTTAAATCTATTTTGATGGTTATTATATCGATAGAACTGACGAGGGTCAACCCAGACCAAAATATATTCAATTGTTAAACTAAAATCTACTTTTTTACTCTACAGAGGTTTTGTCGATCATCATCACCGAATTTTAAAGCTGTACATTTAGCTGGATTAAACCTATGCAGCATGCTGGTAGCGCTTCTAAGAAATTACCTCAAGAGATCGAGGGGCCGGGATGTAAGAGAGGGGGCCATGGGTTCTTTACAAGGATATTTAACAATAATGCGCAAAAGAAGGCAACCATTGCGCATCGTTGCGCGCAATGCTATTGCGATTGAAAACCCTAAACTTGAATCTGTAAAAGTCGTCTTCCTTTTCCAGAGTTTTCTGGTTTTTACTGTATTTTAATCCTAATACTTTTGCAACTTAAAGATGTAAATTATTACACTATGCCCTCACCCTGAAAAAAAACGAACAAACGTCGTTTAAAACGATTGGTTTTTTGTTTGTATTTTCTCTAAGGATAAGAAGTTCAATACAAGCGAAATTTTACGCATTAAATACAGTTGTAAAATGTTGGAAGTTTACAGTATTTGTTTGGTGCCTTAAAAAGTAAAAAATCTAAAAAAAAGTACTGTCTGTACTGCCTGTATCACCCTGTGTTGAATTCGAACGAAGAACGATGAGTGACTAATAGAACAGTTTAAAGATTAGAAATAAAGAAAATTATTATGAATGAAGAAAATTGTTTGTTTTGCACTTTTTAAGATTGATAACTATTGTGGCAACATTATACGTTTACAGTATATATTTTTACATATTTCAAGGTATCCACCCAGAATGAGACAAAGATTAGTGCGACAGCGACAAGACATGTTATCAAGCGACAAGTGATCCAGCTACATTTCGACTGTATCATCTGATCTTACGCACAAACAACTCGATACATTTCGACTGCGTCATCTGATCTTACGCACAAACAACTCGATGAGAAATTTTCCAATTACCTTTTAAAGACTATAGCTAAAAACAGGTGCTAATTATACAGGGTGAGTCAAAAAAGTGTGATGTGCGGCCCCTGGTGAAAGTTGTAAGTTTTTTTGTGCAACTCTTCTTATGGTGTTTTTTCAAATTTCAAATTTCAAAAAAATGCACGAACCTTTTTTCTCTCAAAATCAAAAGTTCAGAAAAACAAAAATGTGTAAATGAATTGTTTCTATCGAAATCTAAAATTTTCAAATGATTGAATCACAGAATCTCAGAAAATTTGCAAAACTGTAATTAGAAAATTCACAATTCTCAGTTGCTGTTTTTTTACCCTAAAAGAAGAATATGGTTGTTAACTTGTTGAATCTCTCTTCTGAGTTCCCAGGACCTGTTTTTATATCACTTTAGTTCTATATATATAATTGACTTTGACAAACATTCTCCGCGTACAGGACAAGACTGTTCACCTATTCTGCAAGTACAGTTGTGTGCAGTTGTTCTTATAACCTTTACTAGCTTGGTGATCTCGCAATATTTTCATGTTAGGTAAACAAGAGTATGAAACTAATTGATGGTATTCCTATTGAAGATTTTCCCTAGTATTGTATCTTTATCCACAAGAATTAGAAACGTGGAGGAACCACGGTTTGTAGAAACTGATTTACTGAAAGGTGGATTAAACCATGTTTTATTCCTTTTTTTGTTTTTCTTAGTAGTTCTGGTATTGGATTGAAATACAGGGTTTTCATAATACCAGATCTTCTGAGGGTGTCTCATGTGTAGAGGAATCTCTTACTTAAAAACTTCTTCTGAGCTGGAGAGTTTAGATATTCTATTTCTTATCATCTGAGGTAGTGTCAACCATTAACCATGCTCCGTGTAAACTCCGTGCAACTTAGATCCCCTCTCGGAGACACAAAGAAAACCAAACCAAATATTTTTAACCTCCTTTTCCTTTGTTCTCCCTATCGGAGTATAAACAATCTAAAACATAGTGAATTCATTTTCAAAAGCTAAACAAAGAATATTTTCATATAAAGAATTAGTGACTTTCGTTAATAATTAATTGTCATTTATTTCAGAAGTTTAAAAACGTCTCAGAAGTTTAAAAACGTCTTAGTACTGTCCGACTATTTATTACCCCTTGTTATCTACTAATAGATCGTAAGAATTTTTTCATTATAAACATTCATTATAACAGTTTTATATGTAACTATTTATGTAATTTTTTTTAGGAAATAAAGATAATCTGCATTATCGATTTTGATTTGTTATTCTGTTGTGTGTCTGTTCAACTTGAGAATATTGTTCCTTTCTGACCACAGGTAGTTGCTTGATAATAGTCTTTGGATGGTTTGATGCAACAGTTATAAAAGAAGTCTCTGAGTTTTCTTTTTGGTAAGGTTTGCAGGGTTGAAATGAATATCTTGGAAACCTGAACATTTAAGGTTTTGGTTACTCGCAGTCCCACCTCTTTAAAAATGTGTATTTTGTTGATGATTGGGTCTAGTTTGAGGAGATGAAAAAGGCCAACTAGTTCACATGATTCAGCGCCATCTAAACAACCCATAGTTACATAGAAGTTAGTTCTAGTTTTCTACACCCACCTGCAGTCTAGGTTAGAAAATAGAAAATATTTTCTTGAATGAACTAACATGTTCATCTAACTGCTCTTCATTTGGGTAAAACTTCCTAATCCTAACCATTCTAAAGCATCCTTATAGAGTTTAGGAGATATACATCAAAACAAAAATTTTGTCCACATTTTGAATTTTTTTATTCATTGATTAAAGTAAATATTATAGAAATAAACATTTTATTGAGCTATCATTCATTTTACACATAAGCCCTTCCTTATCTCTATATTCACTGCTATCCTTGCAGCTTGTTTATTTTTTAATAATATATAAATATATGAATATACGAATATATGAATATATCGGCAAAATTCAAACAAATATATTTGCATTTTTAAACTATTTAAACTGCATCCTCCTCTACGCAATACAATTTTAAAAATACAAATTCTAGAAAACTTAAAACATTTTATCTTTTAATTTATTTCATGTTTGTGTACTGTCCTACTGTACTGAGGGCAGCCTCTAAAATTACAAATATCAAAATAACATTTTAAACATTGATTCATCATCGGCGGTTGCTGGGATACATCGGCGATTCCGGGTTTTCTTACTTGCCCGCCTCCTTCATCCTAAACAGTGAAATATTTGATTGATTAAAATAAAAACCGTTTTAAATATTCAAGGTGTTTTATTTTGGAATCTGGACTGCACAATAGCCTCCAGTTGGGAGTTGGGACTAAATATAAAACGTGTTTAGTTCCTTTTTTAAATTAAACTTACTAATAGATATATTTCAGATTCAGGTTTCTCAGATATTTTGTATTCATTTTTGGCGTAAAAACTTACAAAAAATCTGATAAACCGCGGAAAATCAGAAAGGTTTTCCTGTTCAGTCTGGGATTCCATTTTTTTAAAGGATTAATTTGGAACCGTAGAGGCCTTACACGGCTAAAAAACCTTTCCTGAAGCTGTTCAGAATTATAGACCATATTGTAAACTTAATGATTAATTTAACGGCGGAACCGCGGCGGAACATTTTACAATGATTTTCAAAAAAAATCTAACCCTTAAATAATACACAGAGTTTGGTGTGACATTATGTACATTGTAAACTGTACAGTCCTTAGAATAAATATTAGTGATGTGTTTTATCTACAGCGTTAATTATACATTTGCTGGAATCGTATATGTCGTCTTCAAAAATCAAGTTTTTTTTAATAAATGCTCATGGTTAGCATAACCTAAAAATGTCACTCCGGGGAAATTTTTTTTTATTTATAACCTTTCTTTCACGTTCAACCTTTGTGCTATTTACTAACCTTCCATACATGTCTCAGGATAAAAACTTGCTTCTTGAAGACGACATTATAAACTATCACCGCATAAACCATAATTTTACTATTTATATACAGTAGCTGACCCTTTTCACTTCATTACGAAATTTACAAAAAGTTTGAAATGATTCTTGAACTAATATCTAACATAATGATAAATACAAAAATGATGCGTAAGAGTCAAGATTGTAGCATTCTCTAAAACCTAAAATCTGAAATCTAGAATAAATTATTCAATTATGAAAATTATGTTTATTTACATATTTATGTTTCGAAGCAAACCATGATCACCTATATCTATAAAAAAACTATTGGAAATAAAAACTAAGATGAATTATTCTAAAACAAAAAGCGTGTTCTCCGTTTATTTTTTAACTTAACTTTTGATGATGAACATTCTAGCCTGCATGCTAAAAAAGAAAATCCGTGATATATCTTGTAAAGTCGTCTTTATCGGGGGCTTTACAAATCAATTGAAAAAAATCTAAAATGTTCTTAATGGATCTGTTAGTGTTATTTCAAGTGACCCTTAATGCATAAAAGGAAATGCCCCCGATATACAAATATTCTCAAACCTTTAATTACAAAAAGAGAGCATAGAACTGTGCATAAGTTTATATCTCAAAAATTGTAAAACTTGATAGCGCGCAAGTCGCGTTAGCGTACAGTGTTATCTCAACGCAGCTGACGTTACAGATATTCTACGAAAATCCAGAATATTCGATGTGGCAAACACAGTTTTAAAATATGTTCTGGAGAATATTTGTTTCTGCGATTTCTATGAAGTAAATATAAGCATTTCATAAATATAAACCAGATTGCAAACAAATTGCTCAACAGTAAGAAGAGTTTCTGAATAATTCCGTCATGTACTGCTGTACATATACTGTAATATACTGCTGTACATATACTGTAGTGTACTGCTGTAAATATACTGTAATGTACTGCTGTAAATATACTGTAATGTACTGCTGTAAATATACTGTAATGTACTGCTGTAAATCGGACATGCCACTCTAAGGATCACTTAAAACTACGCCAGCGCTCCCTTTAAATATTATATTCAGTGTATTGGAGTTAAATTGCCATGAGGGGGATCAGTTGATTTTAACATATTTACAACTTCAGACAATTCTTTAAACTTATATTTTGCATAAAATTTAAATTCATTTCAGAAAATAAAGTTTTAATAATGCAGTATTTTGAAGTTAGTTTATGTATAAAAGAGTTTGTTGCAGCTGTTGAAAAAATGAATTAAACTGTTAATTTTGTGAAATTACAGCTAAAAATGATTAATATCCGACCCCAGCTAAAAAGACTTAAAGATATTGTTCACCAATTTTTAATTTTATCATTTCTCAATTTTTGACATTATGATTTATTGGAAGTTTATTATTTTACAATATGTCAAATGTCTATAAACTATAAAAATGTTACAAAACCCTATTTATTTCTATGTACACTTAAGTGTACAACTGTACAATTGCAGTACAAATACCTGTGCGCTAAATCCATAAGTTTCAGTGTTCTCAAGCTTTTCATAAATATTAGTTTTACATCATTCAATTCATTTAGCTTTAAACTTTCAAACCATAAAAAAAATTAATTCAATAACAGTAATTACTCGCCACTAACTCTAATTTTTTAAATCCCTTATATCTTTGTAACAGGATGTCGTGAACCTTTTCTAATTAAAAATAGTCCTAATTTGAAATATCCAAGATTTACACCATCAAGTTGCAAAGATTGTAGGTATTTGATAATAAAAGTTCTTGTTAACAGTAATTAGATCTTACATAGAATACGATGTTTCTTGTTTTAAAATATTTGATGGTTTTATATATTTAAATTAAGATTAAATATTAAAAAAATAAGTAAATATTTTATATTATTAAATTTATCATGAATAACTGTTTTTTCGTTAACATAAAAGAATATGATAATTTGTGGATTCAGGTGAGTGGGATTCCTATAAATATTTTATATTATTAATAACTTCTTATAACTAACTTCTTAAGAATAAACTAAGACCTAAGTCAAACAAAAGTTTCTTCTAAGTGCCTAGTATCCCAGTACTAGTTACTACTAGTACTATGCCGAGGACATTTATTGATAAGAAATCATACAAAAAACATAATATTCAAGTTAAACTTAGGTTTTTCAGAAACCACAAAAAAACAAAACAGTCTTAAATATGTAGTTCTTCGGATTAGATTAAATCGATGGAAAATATCTTTTCATAAAGTGAGAACCAGAAGAAAACCCAGGAATTTAGGAAGACATCTTTTAGACTTCATTTAAATATTCCAATGAACATAATACACAGTATTTTAATAAATGTAAACACCCCATTTTAACTTAATAAGTAACTTAATAAGTTATGGTATAATAAGTTATATAAGTTACATCATCAAATATACTTAAATATTGGTATCATGTCAACTTTCTGTTCCACAGTTTTCTGGTTCTCACTGCACTACCTTTCCCAACCGCTTTATAATGCTATTTTATATCTATAAAATAAGTGAAAGATTTAATAAAAAACCTAGGTTTAATTAAAATACTAAAAAAGGAGAAAAGGAAATTAGTTTTTTTTCAAAAAACTTACATTTTTAGCCCCTCTATGCTTTGCAGTCAGATTTTTATCCCCTATAATCTTTGCAGTCAGATTTTTTAGCCCCTATAATCTTTTCAGTCAGATGTTTAGCCCCTATAATCTTTGCAGTCAGATTTTTAGCCCCTATAATCTTTGCAGTCAGATTTTTTAGACCTTTGACATTTCATACTGAGTTAAATCAAAGAATCTATGTTTCAAAATATCAAAGGTTTACACTGTCAGGTTGCCAAGATATTGGAATAAGAGTTTGTGGCAGAAGTTCAGTTTCTTTGTTTAAATTCAGAACTAAAACAAAATGAAAACAAATAAAAGTAGAGATTTACCGGTTGGAGATCTTTTTCAGCATCGAGACTTGACTTGGAGAGGAAACATAGTCCGGAATCTCAATCCCCACTATATAAACAGAATTAAAGGGACTGTTAAATAAACAGAACTAAAGGGACTGTTAAATTAAAGGGACTGTTGAATAAACAGAATTAAAGGGACTGTTGAATAAACAGAATTAAAGGGACTGTTAAATAAACAGAATTAAAGGGACTGTTAAATAAACAGAATTAAAGGGACTGGTAAATAAACAGAAATAAAGGGACTGTTAAATAAACAGCATTAAAGGGACTGTTAAATAAACATAATTAAAGGGACTGTTAAACAAACAGAACAAACAGAATGAATGTTAGAAAAAACAGCGGTACCCTTAAAAGCTTAGTTTGCTTAAGAATTAATGAGATATCAATCATATTCTCTGTGAAAGTGGATATTTTTATTTGGTTCGTTTTTATCAAGTGTTTTGCGCATTCTGCAATGGAGGATATTCAACACTTTTTAGGCTATAAAAACGACCATATCTTCTAATCAGATGAAGGTTTTAAATGTTTACAAGAACAAATATCAAATAAATTAATTATTCGAAGATAAACTTTTAAGTTTTGTGATGTCTGAAATAAAATGAGAGTAATAAAACAATTATAACTAAAACAAATGCAAAAATTTAAATATATGAATTAAAGAAGAGATGTAAATGGAAAATAGTTTCTATACTGTCTGTAAATCTACAGTCTGTGGAACTGATAATCCTGAAACGATTTAAAAAATTAAAAGATATAATTCCTTTTAGACTTAAAAGATAATAAAAAGTAAACTCTTTGTGTTTGACATTTTTTTCTTGATTTAAATATTTCCCTTTATTCCTTTCATTTTTTCTGGTGCTTTGATTGAACAAAATAAAAGTAAAAAACTGAATTTTTGAAAAAGATGAACTCACAGTATCGTTTGTTAGGTGCAGGTACATATTCTTCCTCTCCCTGCATCCAGTAAGGTCGGTTCTAAACATTGTACTATATCAACTAAATGTACTCCATGAACTATTTATAACTCGATGTAATTTATCAGCTTCATGTTCTCAGTGAACGTAAATTAACGTAATTAACTAAATGTATAACTCAATGTACTCTAAAACTATTTATAACTCAATGTACTTTATCAACTTTCTGTATTCTGAGACCTCAACTCTGTCAACTGAGCCGAAAATTTAAGAGAATATCGTTGAACTAAACTCTTGAACTTCCTTTTAGTCAAGAATGTAATGCAAGGAAAGTTAATTGCAGTTGCGTATACTCTATGTACATATTGAATTTGTAAACAAGAAAAGATGCCTCAGTGTTCGTTTAGTATCCGAGGAGGTTAAAAGCATTGAATTTTGATAATTTTGATAATTCACATAATAGTTTCCTATGACCAGAATATTTCATTGATTATTTATGTGACAGATGGATCCTATGTCAGGCTTCGACATCCGTCTTGTGTTTACATTACCGCCCAAAGAGAGTACACTGAAGTACAAAAGAAGGATACACCTCTGAAATATCTTTCCTTGCATTAAATCCTTGCTTTTAGTAGATTTTAATTTTGCGTAGATTTTAATTTTGGAAATCAGAAAACAAAAATAGAATGCAAAGAAACCACATTAAAATAATATTTCTTAACCAAAATATCTACAAGACTGCCTGAACCCATTTATATAACTTGGTTTCTGATATTGGGTTTCATTACGATACTTTGTCTTTAGATGTATCACTCAATGTACTTAATTCCAACTCAATATACTCGGCGACGTTGATGTTCTAAATATACTAAATATAAACTACAGGGTGTCCCACGAAACACGACAGTTGCAAGACGAATTAGAGGTCGTCTTTAATCTTTGAAATAATTTGCGTCATTCAGTTTTAATCCAAGTAAAATTCTAGATTTAATAATAGGGATATATTGTGGTTATTGTTTCAAGAATCATACATGTGAAGGTAGGTTGACGACTGAATGTCACAAACAAATCAAAAGTTCAAAGACGACGTTAAGTCTTCTTGCTGCTGTATTTTACCTTTAAAACTCTGTTTTTACTTCTGAAACTCTGTATTTTACCTCTGAAACTCTGTATTTTACCTCTGAAAAGTCGTCATACTCAAGCTCTGCAACATCGTCCAACTTTGGTATTATATTCCTTAATAGATAGATACATATATAGATAGATAGATAGATAGATAGATAGATAGATAGATAGATAGATAGATAGATAGATAGATAGATAGATAGATAGATAAATAGATAGATAGATAGATAGATAGATAGATAGATAGATAGATAGATAGATAGATAGATAGATAGATAGATAGATAGATAGATAGATAGATAGATAGATAGATAGATAGATAGATAGATAGATAGATAGATAGATAGATAGATAGATAGATAGATAGATAGATAGATAGATAGATAGATAGATAGATAGATAGATAGATAGATAGATAGATAATTAAATAGATTAAGTCTACGTGTAAAGATAGATATTTTATACTGATTGACTGATTAAAAGATATAGTGATAGATTTCGGCATCTGCTAAAATAACATTTCCATAGTGATTATTTTTTTATTTTGTAATTTATGAAATGAAATAATGTTTATTTTATGATTGTCTCTATAATGATATTCAAATTAATAGTTTTTCTTTAAATTTAAACTCATATATCATGTTCAAAGGCAACTTTTAAAACTTCGAAAAAAGCATAATAAGCAGTTTCTCATTAATGAGGTATTTTCAAGTTTAAAATGATAAAAAGAAAAACAATTTATATAAGTTGTTGTCACAATTAAAAGTTTATTTGGTTTTCAATATAAAAAAAACGTTGATATTGTTTGAAATTTTAATATTTGATTAAAAAAAATTATAAAAAGATATACCAAACAGTAACCCACGCAATGTACAAGGGTAGGCAATTATCTTATTTTTTACCATCGTATTTCTTTACAGCAGCAATTATTTTTGAAAAAGTTTAAGAAAAAGCTTAAATGCTATCCATATACAATGAAGATGACTTTCAATTTCAATTTTGATTTACATTATACGTTAAACAGCTTGGGCACACATAAACATTGAAGTCAAGAGCGGCATGTGAATTAAAAAAGCTTCTCTTTAACTAGTTGTAAACTTTTAATTCGAAAAAAGCTTGTTGACAAAACTTAAATAAAAAAGTCGTCTTCATTGCATTGATATAATCGCCTACCACTGTATGATTATTTGATGTAGTTTCTTCAAATGGTTAAATAACTACGTTCAATCTCATAATGAGATAAAGATAAATTTGAAATATTTATTCGTCAAAATGTAATTAATAACATTAACGTCGATTAAAGTTTAATATCTAAATGTTCAAAATATATTTCCAATATCTACCTTACTGCTGACCTCTTCTCTTGCCGTAGGAAGGGCTGAAAAACACAAATAATTATATAATACATTCATTCATCTTAAAACCATAAATATTCAGACCATTCACCTTCAACCCATTCATCTTCGAACCATTCATTTTCAAACGATTCATCTTCATTTCATTCATCCTAAAACTATTCACCTTCAACATATTCATCTTCATACCATTCATCTTCAACCCATTCATCTTCGAACCATTCATTTTCATACCATTCATTTTCAAATCATTCATCTTCAAATTATTATTCTTCAAACCATTCATCATCAAACCATTCATATCAAACCATTCATCTAGTCAAACCATTCATCTAGTCAAACCATTTATCTTCAAACCATTCATCTATAAACCATTTCTCTTCAAACCATTCATCTAGTCAAACCATTCATCTTCAATCCATTCATCTTCAAACCATTAATCTTCAAACCATTCATCCTCATACCATTTATCTTCAAACCATTAATCTTCAAACCATTTATCTTCAAACCATTTATCTTCAAACCATTTATCTCCAAACCATTCATCTTAAAACCATTCATCAACAAATCATTTATCTTCAAACCATTCATCCTCAAACCATTCATCTTCAAACTATTCATCTTCAAACCATTAATCTCCAAACCATTCATCTTAAAACAAATCATCTTCAAACCATTCATCTTTCATTCATCTTTAAACCATTTTTTTTGTTAAAACAGAGACTTTTTATTTAGAGCTTTTTTCCTGGAGAAGCTGATTACTCACAACAAACATAACTATTGGTTTAAAATCTCTGATATTTTTAATTATGTATACTGCTAGCTACAAAGTTTGAAATATCAAAGGTTTACACCATCAAGTTTCAAAGAATATAGAAATTAGAATATAAGAGTATCAATTCCTGAGATCTACAAAATGTTATCCCCAGAATTTTTTGTCTCTCCTTGTCTCCCTTCCCTTCCCTCTCAAGGTTGGATTACATGAAGAAACTTCTTGAACTTTGTTAGATCTGTGGAGGGGAGGGGGTGGGTAGGGGATTGATGGTGTACAAAGAGCGAGGGAAGGCACACCACACAATTTTTCGTCCGCAATACAAAACAACTCACCATAATTTCATCCAACCACACCATTTTAAGTCCGACAATGTTTACAGTCTTTTTTTAAGTACTTTAAATTATTATATTCTAAATTTGAGCAACGTCATATTGTTTATAACGGTTTAAAATATTCTATCCTGTTTTTTTTTTAACTGAGAACATCTTATAAAAGTACAGGGGGCAAAAACAAATTATGGAAACTTTTATTTCATAATCTTTCAAACATTACGTGTTATAAGGCATAAAAAATACATTTTAAAACACAGAAGCAACGCCCGGACGAAAACAAGGTGTGATTGGAAGAAATAATGGTAAGTTGTGACGTTATTTGGGGTGCGGACGAAAAATGGTGTGGCGTGCCTTCCCTTACTCGTACAACACGGTATAGTAAGTATCTAAACCAGAGATAAGAGATCGTACTTATCTAGCTCATGCATGATCTGTACTTACCTTATTTGTTCTGTAATGTCATTACTCTGCTTTAATTTACAAATATTCATGTACTTTTTACAATGTGCCAAAATACTTGTTTGCCAGGATAATACGTGATCCTTGTACCATTAATAATCTGAACCTGTACACATGATTTTATGTACCTTTAATATCCTGTACACATATGATCCTTGTACCTTTAGTAATCTGAAACTGTACACGTGATTTTACGAACCTTTAGTGTCCTGTACACATGATCCTTGTACCTTTAGTATCCTGTACATTTGATCCTTGTACCGTACATCAGGAAGTGAGTTATATATCTCCACACTACTCGGGACACTAAAATAATGTAAAATTAAATCGTTAAATGTGTGTTACATTAACAATTGTGTTACCCCTAGAGAGGCTGTTGGTCTGAAAGCCTTTAATTGACTTCAAAAAATTATCAAAGATGTTTTATTTTTATTTTTGACAGTTACAAAATGCTTTTTAAATATGTAAATTTTATCATCGTAGCTTTATTATCTGAAACGTTATTGAAGATTTCCCGGAGCAGTCTTCCGACCGTCCCATATCATTTACTTTACATTCCCCCCTCAAATAAATTGTATTAAAAAATCCTGTAAATTACATCTTTTTAGGTTTCCTGCACATTTCTGTAATTGCAGGACAACTTAAAGGAATTGTCAGAATTAAACACTTTTAAACCTAGAAAAACTACAATATCTTTCACATTACTGATCAGATAAAGGTTCAAGGGTACCGTTGTGAATCAGGTCTTTAAAATCTAATTTACCTATGCATAACCGCCTGGGTTTGATGTAAACAAATACAGAGAATGCACAAGCCTAGGCTTGTCTTTAATCCTGAACAAGCAGTTCGAAATAATGAACACAATAAATAAGCATGCATGTAAAATATATGAAGTAGTTATCTCTGTCTCAGCTGTCTAGTTTGTATGTTCAATTTATAGAAAACCCCTTGAACGATTAATTCCTCAAAGGAATTGAGTCTTTGCCACAAACTCTGATAAAAAATTTCTAATATCTTAACAACTCAATGTCGTAGACCTTAGACATTTCAAACAATGACTTTTGTTAGATCAAATAATCAAAATTTAAAATATCAAAGGTTTACATCATTTGGTTGTAGAGATATAGTTATTTGAAGATTGGGTTTGTGGCAAAGACTCAATTCCTTATATATTGAAGAAATCGGGAACATTTTTTTAGCCAGGTTAAGAAATTTCAAATAATAATAAACTCCAGCGACCGAATTTAGTTGATTTTAGCTACGCCGCAGAACTACTTCTTGCCTGCGGTTTAAATTTGAACCACAGATTCAAAGTTAGAGATTATGGAAGGATTTGTATCGGTGATTCAAATTTAAACCGGCAGTGGTAGGCAGTTTAAATTCAGTCCCAGCCAAAGCTGGGTACGTTCCCAAGCTAGCAAGATGATAATAAAATAATTTCCATATTTAAAGCTAAAAAGTAGCTACTAAGACATAAATGTGTAAAAAATTACCGACAAAACGTTTAAACGATCGGATGCTAAAGTATTTCAGAAATATATCTCTTGACTCCTCTACTTATTTGGATAGAAATTACTTTTCTGAGGATCAATTGTTAGAAAACTAAAATTTTCTAACAATTTTTCATTTTAATATTATACCAGTTAATGATGCAATTTAATACCTATTTTAATATTATACCAGTTAATGATGCAATTTAATACCTATTTTAATATGATATATTTGCAAAATTTGGTTGGTGACGGTTTTATAAAAAAATTTTAAAAGTATATTTTTCCTAATTTCGAATTTGTTAGTTATATTATATACCCTATAATTGAAGCGTTTTCGGAATTGGACTTGAAAATAAAACATAAAATCATGGTTTTTAACATAACTAATTATCCAAAAATTTTAAAGGAAAAAATGTGTCAAACTTTGCCATTCTCTATTTTCCTTTTCCCAATCCTTTTACCAAAATTACTCGTTATTTCAGTAATCTTTGTTTATCAGTTGGAACTCTTTTTACGGAGAAATCCACTCACCTCTGATCACATCACACCCATGAAATCTGTAAACTAAAGTTTTTTTGGTGTGGCATTAAATTTGGTTTTATATTTTTAACAACATTTAAAATAATCTCAACAATATTTCCGAACGCAGAGTTATGTCCAACTAAAAATAATATACTTAAATTCTCCAATATAAACAAAATGCACGTAATTTCCGAGCGGTTTCGGCCATTCGATATTAGTTTATGCAGTTTCTCTTCAAAACCTTTTAATTAATTAACGTTCCACTAAATGGACCGTTCACTTATTTCAGGGTGAACTAACTAGTCTATTAGCTATTCATTGGTATTAGTCTTTTCAAAGATAACTGTGGCCGGAGAATAGGTCAACTTAGCATTTGAGAATACCGGTACAAATATGATTGTAGAATCTCATATTGTTTAGCAATTAAATCAACGTTTATTCGGAAACAACAACCCATAAAATCATTCAGCTACAATAAGGTATGGGGGGGGGGGGCAGCCAAAATGAATTTAAATTCCACAAACCTATTTTTTTATGTCAAAAAAGGCTTGTCCGCTTTAGAATTTTTATTTGAGAGAAGTCTCTAGTTGTTTGAAAGTTATGTTTTAGGTCAGAATTTCGAGCTAAAACTGGCTATTTCATTGAAAACTCTTAAAATAGGATTTTTAACACACAACTCTGACTAAATAAAATTTTGTGCATGCTGCCGACGCCCCTAAACCTTTTATGGCTGTTAAATTCTATTAATATATTTAGATTATCCCGAAACCGTTGTGCTTTATTTTACTTTTGCTATAAAATCAGAGGTGTAAATAAGGATTTTTAGTATAGGAGCATATTTATATGGTTTAGCTGGGTTTGATTTAAATTTCCAAATCATTACTGGGATTAACAAACTCTATCAAATAAAAAGCTTCCTTTACAACCTTTCAGCTTTCACCTTCTTAATTTAAACCTTAAAGGTTGTCCATTATAATTAAGACTTTTTAAAAAGTCTAAAAAATAGCAAATCCACTAATATGAAAAATCCACGATGATCAGCCACCTGTGCCCTGGGAACAAATTAGTTGCAGTGTTTTGAAGAATAATCAATATAAAGAAGATTAAGGACATGAAAGAGGAGTGGATGAAAATGCTTTTTGGTACATCAAGGGTTTACAGGATCAATTTAAGGTAAAATATATAAACGGGAAAGGTGATTATAAATTTAAGTCATTATAAATCAATGCTAGATACAATTCAACCAATGTTTGTAAATGAAAAGATTATCAGAATATATTCATTTTGAACCATCTAATTATGAAACACAAAACAAATGCATTTTGGGAGGAGTATTGTGACAAAAACCAGTCATGAGTCAACCCCCCCCCCCTTGACGGTCTGTTCACATTTTCCTGGGAAAAACCAGAAAAAAATATTAAACGTATTTAAAAGATGAATGTTTGAATATGATTAGATACAAACTAACCATCTTATTTTGTCAACATTTCGACATTATGTTTATTATGGTCCATTACAGGGTGAGATCTTCTGTTTGGATCCAAGTTTTGAATCCCGCATTTATACTTTCGGTATAAAAACCGAACAGTGAACAACACAAAAAAACCGAACAGTGAACACCACAAAAAAAGTAAAAAAATGGCTAAAAAATATGATTTATCGGCAATATGGTGCAAGCTTTCAGAAATCGCATTTGAATGAAAAATACACAAAATCCAAAGTTGTTCAGAGCTGAAAACTTTAGAATGGGATATCCTTAATCCCTATCTGTCGACTTATCTGGAGATTAAATTCAAGAGGAAAACAAGCCATATTTAATCTGGAGATTAAGAAAAAGAGTGGATTAAGCATTAATCCTGATATCCACCATTCATAAGTTTTCAGCTCAGTCCGCGCTAACTTTTATCATGAATTTCAGAAATAAATTTTCTAGTTTCGCATAACACTTTTCCTTCCTGATATTTAATTATTATTTTACAGGTGAAAATCAAAATATGCATTTTTGGAGGTTTGACATTAATTGAACTGCTTTTCCTGAACTTGTGGCGGTAACTCTCATTCCTGACTTTCTGAAACACAACTGTAAAATAAAATTATAAAATATTTATAAAGTTGTACTCTCTGTTTGTCTTTCTATTTGAATGTTCCACAGAGATGTTCTTTATAGCTTGGTTTTACCAGTCTAAATTGAGTGGGTCGACTTTTAAAGGGGAAAATAGGTAAAAACGGCGGGACTAACTATACCCTGGTCAGCGCTCTGTTCCCAAGCAGGAGAACCCAGGAATGATTTAGCTTGGTTTTAAGAGTCTAAGTGGATCGACTTTAATAGCTTACATTTAGTTTCCCGTAAAAATAGACCAAGTGCGGGTAAACGGCGGGAGTAACTATGAGTAACCTGGGCACCGCTGGCTTTCCAAGCTAGATTTTGCCCAAAAAGAAAGTTTAAAGTTCTTTAAACAGGAAGTTTACAGTTCTTTAAACAGGAAGTTTAAAGTTCTTTAAACAGGAAGTTTAAAGTTCTTTAACCCTATTCCCGCTGGGGGGGGGGTCAATTTGACCCCCCCCTGTAGAAACAGGAAGTTTACAGTTCTTTAAACAGGAAGTTTACAGTTCTTTAAACAGGAAGTTTAAAGTTCTTTAAACAGGAAGTTTACAGTTCTTTAAACAGGAAGTTAAAAATTTAAAGGAGTGAAGTTTTTATAAAAAGTTTTTTTAATGAAAAGGGAGGGGTTAAGGAAAGCCCTGATTCCTCGAGTTGAATAATTACAGTGGCAAACTTTGGGATCGACTGTGAAGAGAAGGAGAGTTACATCTCTTTATATACTCTTCCTCATACAAGATATACAGAGAGAGAAAGAGAGAGAGAGAGAGAATGATAGAGATAGAGAGAGTTACATCTCTTTATACATATACTCTTTCAAGAGATAGATATATAGATAGATAGATAGATAGATAGATAGATAGATAGATAGAAAGATAGATTGTTATGAGGGGTTGAGGGCAATGAGAGGGGAGAAGGTCTCATGATCAAAAGAAAACTAAATAAATTTTAATGATTCACTAATTATTTTAACTTGAAGAATTTTAGGATTTATGTTTTCTCTCAACTATTTATATATACTTTGCTTGTCTGGGTGTCTGTCTGTTTGTATCCAATAAACGTCAAAACGGCAGAACTGATCGGGCCAGATTTTGTGTGGGACATCGCATGACCCCATGGAAGGTTTAAGAATGATCAAAATTTCAAAAATTTGCCACCAAAAAAATTCTATTTTGATTAAATTTTAAAAATCCACGAAATTTTTTGATAAAAGGAATTGAGTCTTTGGAACAAAATCAAATATTTAAACCTCAATATCTTTACAGCCCGATGTTGTAAACCTTTGATATTTCAAACTTAGATTATTTGATTTAACAGAATTCATAGTTTGAAATATCTAAGGTCTACAACATTTGGTTCCAAAGTTACAGTGATTAGAAAATCAGAGTTTGTGGCAAAGACTCAATTCCTTTGCGAACTTTCTTGTTAGTTTTTGTTTTACCATGTACACAAAAAGAAAATTTTAAATTGAAATAGAAGATGGTTTTGAAGCGCCCTGAAAGCCTAGTCTATCTATATACTTTACTTGTCTGTTTGTATCCAATCAACGTCAACGCGGCTGAACTGATCTGGCCCGCATTTTTTGCGGAACCTCGGGTGACCCCTGAGAAGGTTTATGGATGATCGATTTCTCAAAATTTGTCTCTAACAAAATTCGATTTTTGAAAATTTTGAAAATCCACAACATTTGTTTATAAAATCCGCGAAATTTTAATTTTGTTTTTACATAATGTACACAAAAAGAAGATGTTCACAATTGAAAAAGGAGATGGGCGCGACCTAACGACCTAATGAAATGGAAACTGAAAAGCAAATTTTTGTCATAGCAGAACATAACAGTACTACAGAAATACATATGAATTTTGTAAAAACGCTTTGACCAATTCAAAAATAAAAATTAGTGGAAAGTTTTAGGGATTTTTTTATTCGCTTAAACTGGAAAAAATTGGATCAGTTTAAAGTTAGAAATAAAAACTTTTTTGCCAGAACTTATTTGTCGGTCCGTTTTGGTGCACCCTTTTTTACAAACATAAAAGTAAGAGGGAGACGTTATAAAAATGATATATATGTTTTTATTCTAAAAGGCTGAATACAAATTAAGTTATAGAACTTATTTTGCGGAACTGATTCTAATACTTAAACTTTAATTTACTAATCCTTTTAGCTTTGCAACCTGCTAGCGTTAACCTTTGATATTTCAAATTATGAATTCGGCTGGATCAAATATTAGGTTGCAAATATTCTTAAATTCCAATCTATTTTGGGGAGCACTGTATAAATCTATGAGAGGGGTTAGAAACATGTCAAAGTATTCTCTTCAATATTGTATTTAAGCCAATATTTCAAACTTTACAAATAGATAATACAGGTGAAATTTATATCTTCATGAAAACTGAAAGGGGGTTTAAAGAGACTGTACGCGTAATATCACGTGACCCTCCAATCAAAGAGAGAAATGTCCAATTTACAAAGATACTCTTAAAACCTTTGTGTGAGAATTATGGAAATTGCAGCTGAATATACGCGGGTTAGGATAAACTATTAAATTAGAATTAAAGGAATTGTATCTTTGCCACACACTCTGATTTTCTAATCCCAATATCTTTGGATCCCAATGTCTTAAACCTTTGATATTTCAAACTAATATTATTTGATCTAACAAAAGTCATAGTTTGAAATGTCAAAGGTTTACGACATTGGAATCCAAAGATATAGGGATTTGAAAATCAGAGTTTGTGGCAAAGACTCAATTCCTTTGATACAGTATATAAGTACAAACTCAATTATTTGTTATGAACCATGACAGATTCTGTCCATTTTCATTCTTGTCTCTGCTCAATTTTTGATTTCCAGGCAGAAACAAGGTTTGAAAAAACATATTTTCAGTCGTATTTTTAATTTTAAACTTGGACAGAACATTTGTGTATAATTATAGATGTGTCAAGTTGTATGTATGTCTCTATATTTTTATGTACAAAAAGATAATTACGTAAAAATAAGTTTTTTTTTCAATTTGAACTTTTCAAGGCTTGTCAAAGTGAGAGAGAAAAGACTGTTTAAAGAATGAAGCTAGTATGTTTCAGAAGTCTTCGATCAAGAGCACCCCCAGCAGCGTGAACAGGAAATTGTCCAGGGGGATTAACATTTTTTTATTTCAGGGGGGATTCGTGGTTTGGGCCAGAAACCCCCTCGAAACCATTGAGTTTCCTTAGCCTGTGAGTGACGGGGGCGTAGGGGGCTGAGTCCCAATAGCTCCCCCCCCCCCATGCATAGCCCTCCGACCCCCTGCCCTCAACAATGATGCCTGATGTTCAGAAACCAACAATAGAACTTGATTTTTTTTTACAATTCTCCAATCCTTCATCTTTTCTTTTTTTCTTTTTATCCCAGAAAACCAGATTTATATTTAGAATTGTGTATTTTTCTTTCGTTAGTTGGCTAGTTTATCTTCTCAAGAGATCTGACGTACATTTGGAGAAATTGGGCAAAACCCCTCAAATTAGAAACTTAAAAATTTTAAATTAAAAAATCGATTTTCTGTTGGTTCCATTGTGTTCATTTTTGACCTTTTTTTAAAAGAGATACTGATTAGGAAAAAGGTTGAAATCATTTTATTTAACTAAACAAGTTTATTTTTATACTTTTAATTCATCCTGAATATATTACTTTTTACTCTTCCTAGATATTACTTTTAAATCATACTGCATATATTCCTTTCAACTCATCTTGGACATTTATATTTCTTTTAACTCATCCTGGATATATATTCCTTTTAACTCATCCTGAACATATATTTCTTTTAACTCATCCTGGATATATATTTCTTTTAACTCGTCCTGGATATATATTTCTGTGAACCATACCCCTAAAATTACCCTGTTGTAAGGTCGTCTCTGACAAATTGTACCTTCGTTGGACCCTCCGTCCACTTACCAAACCAAACATTTCCAAGGCTTTCGCATAAACATAAACAAAAACCTCATGGAGGCATTTAAACTAATTTAAACCAATTTAAACATAATTATCAGTGAATCATTTACAAATAAACAGTGAAATTACTTTAACCAGATAAATATTTATTTCAGAAGAATTAAATTGCTTTAGACTTCAGTTCAAACAACTTTTCGCCGTGCCACAGTTTTCTAGATTGTAAGTTCCGTATACTTAATTCACAAAAATATCTTAAACCTTTATTTGTCAATTCACAACAGTACCTATTAAACTTTTATTTATCGATTCACAACAGTACCTATTAAACCTTTATTTATCGATTCACAACAGTACCTATTAAACCTTTATTTATCGATTCACAACAGTAATAAAATATGATCCACTAAATCTGCAAAACCTAGAATCAGTAATAAAAATATGATCCACTAAATCTGCTAAACCTAGAATTTCCAATACCTTTTAAGTCTTTATTCAACTCTCAATGTTAAATGTTTATAAACCAATTGTTCGATTCACATCAACGCCCATTTATTGTTAGTTACCCTTAACTGTTTAATCTATATTAACAATTATCATTTATACACATGTACGTCAATAACAATTTGTATTTCGTTGTAGGAAACCTTCGTTACTGAAATATACATTTTCAAGAAGTTGTTCTCATCTATGTATGGCCGGTAGAAAAGAGTGTTTCCCTAGCCAATTCGGCTTATTTCCCTCTTTCGAGTATTATTCCTTTTGTTCGGCTCACAATTTCTTTTAACTCATCCTGGATATATATTTCTTTTAACTCATCCTGGATATATATTTCTTTTAACTCATCCTGAGCTGAAAACTTTAGAATGAAATATCCAGATATCCCGTCGAATAATTAATCCGAAGATTAAAGTCATGAGTTTTCCAAGCAATATTTAATCTCAAGATTAAGAAAAAGAGTGGATTAAGCCTTAATTCTGATATCCACCATTCTAAAGTTTTCAGCTCTGGACATATATTTCTTTTAATTCATCCTGGATATATATTTCTTTTAACTCATCCTGGATATATATTTCT